CTTTGATGCTTGGCTTCACTCATGCTATGTTCTTGATTGCCTTTTCTCATTGTCTTGATGCACCCGCCACAATGAGAAGAGCAAACTAGCAACAGATCGCTATGTTCTTGATTGCCTTTTTTCTCATTGGCTTCAGAACTAACATGTCGAGCAACCGAGGCGGAGACGCACGCTGGGGTGAGTGAGCTGCGACGGCGAGAGGCGAGTTTAATGCCCCGGCAACGGCGCCGAGGCGGTGGGCGAGGCAGCGGCCATGTGGTGAGTCTGACGCCGGTGAGCCGCAGCTCGGTGGCGGGCAACAGCAGCGTCGATCCAGCTCGGCAGGGCGACGGGTGCGGCTAGCCGCGCATGGAAGGGCGGCGGCGGCGGAGAAAGGCGAGGCGGAGGGCGGGCCGCTCACGCGCCGGGATCTCGCCTGTGACCGAAGGACCTGGATGCGCCGGCGGCGGCCAGATGGAAGGACGCGCGATCCGCGGCTCTTGCGCGAATCGACCTTGCCGCCAAATGAACGACGGACGGGCTCCTGCTTATACGGGGTTTTCGCAAAACAACGCAACTAGTGTGCTAATTGCGGGCGTTTAATTGCAAAACGCGCCCACCTCTATCTGAAGCCATCGGATGCAGATCCAGCGGTCCAGATTGATGGTTTCCAAAGTTTGCACATAAGCTTGGTTTCCACCTGAACCGACCGTTGCCTTTAAATTTGATCAAGTTTATCTAAAAGAATAGCAAATATTTTTATTACTAAATAAGAGGCATTACGTTCATCTGACACATAGTTTCGTGATGTACCATTTGTTATAGTGGTTGCCGGGAGGAAGCTGTTACTTTTGAGTATTTTTGCTTGTTTTGTTGTGAGAGAAAAATACTGTAGATTCTATCTGATAAGCCGGCTGATAAGTTCAAACGAACAAGCCCTAAAACCCAACTTCACGAATTAAGGGCATTATCAACGGCGAATCTAGACTAAACTGCTGCCGGGGTCGTACAGATTCATGAACTCAATTTGATGGGGTCGTAGCTGGCCGAAATACGCGGGGTTCCACTGATTCGTACAAAGTTATCGGGGTCGTATAACCCCGACACATATGCACTGGCTTCGCCGCTGGGCATTATAGTAATTGCCCCTGTTTTAACCTTTTGGACATTATTCATGTCCCATCCTGTTGACCTCGAGGCAGCGCCGGACTGTGAGTCTTGGAGGGGGGTCCTCGTTTAGGCAGTGGAATTCCCCTCGATGGCTCGATGACGCGCACGTTCCATCTCACCTGGTCACCCCTGCGGTTCTACCCCCAATCCAATCTAGGGCTTCTTCGGTTAATGAGGTTAGGAACAAATATTCTGGTTGATCAACTGCTATACAAATTAGCCAATTAATTATCGGACTGCTAGCGCCCGAACGTTCGATCCGAGCGCTAGCGTTCGGACGCTCACGCCAGCTACGCCTGCCCGCGCGCTCGCTCGCCCACCTACGTGCTTCACGTTAGGGCCCACGCCGCTCTGTTTCCACGCATGCCTCAATCTGTGCCCGCTCTCGTTTCCCGCGCCTGCCGCTCACGCCCCTCCTCTCCCACACGCATGCACGGGGCCCAGCAGCTGCAGGTAGGTGTGGCTGTGGCAGGTGGGTCCCACTGTAACATTCAAACATCAGATCTACTTTTGCAACATCTAGATGAAACATTTGCAACATACGTCTAAAACAGAAGAAACATTTGGGACATACAGTTGAAATGTCATTGCAACATGTGAAACATCCCGATTTACTTTTAAAACATCCAGATGCAACACTTGCAACATACAAAAAAATATGAAACATTTGAGACATGCATCTGAAACACTTGCAACATACGTGTACAAAAAAACAGATGAAACATTGGGGATAGACACTTGCAACATATGTGTACAACTATTGCAACATCCTGATCTACTTTTTCAACATCCACATGAAACACTTGCAACTTCCACATGAAACATCTGAAACACTTAAAACATACTCTTGCAACATGATTTTTCAGCATGCAATGTCACCTTGCTACTTGGGCGAATCGTGGAACTCGACGGCGCCGTAGCGCATGAAGCTCGCCAGTGCGCCCTAGGCGAGGACCTGCTCGGTGGCCTGGCCAAGCACCTGCTTGGCGGTCTGGGTGAGCACCGGTGCGAGGTGCGCGAGCACCCTGGGCGAGCACTTGCTCGACAGCCTGGGCCAGCGCACCCTGGGTGCGGCGGAGGACGGGCATGTCGTGGCGGGGGACGGAGGCGCGGCGGGGGATGGCGGCAGTGGCGCTGGAGTGGCCTGGCAGGGTCGGCCCCCGAGCGCTGCTCCTTGGAGGCGGTCGCGTGCCGCACCTGGCTGGGCCAGCGACCAAGCGCCGGAGGTGGCAGTCGAGCGGATAGGAGCAAGTGAACGGATAGGACCGAGTACGTGGACGAGCGGCTTTTTTATATTTAGAAACGAAGGAGGAGGGGTCTTGGGCTAGTGTCGCGTGGCCCACCAACGGAGCGTCCGGGTGGACAGATGCCCATTTCCCAGTATTACTGATTAATTATTCTGGCTTGGCAATCGTTCGAGGAAATAATTCCTAGCGCCTTGTTCGACTGGGGCTGGCTGGCTGGGCTGGCTGGCCAGCCCACTCACATGGGTACTATTTACACGAACCAGCCAGCAGTACTTCTCTTTCACATAAATAAACCAGCAACGATATGAACCAGTCAACCGAACAGGCCGTAGATACCTGAATTAGCCCTTAGAAAGGAAGGTAGAGCCGCAATACAAGATCAGATCCCAGACGGTATTGACGAGACGACCCCCGCATCTAGTGACAGACTATGGTAAACACTAACACGACGAAAGAATACCCGGTCATCCGGCTGTGCTATTGTGCTAACAATGTCCTGCTGCTGCCAGCATCGACGACACCAAATTTACTTTTTTTGTTTTAATCCCTTTCATGCTTATCTAGTTTGATATTTGCCACAGGAGCAACGGTGAATTGGATGGATTGGTCACCTCCTCACGACTTTGATCAAATGTGAGCTAGCGTGCCGATCAAAAAAATGTGAGCTAGCGTGCTTAGGGCCTGTTTGTTCGATTTCTTATGAGCTTTTGGGCCTCAGCAATTGGATCTTTCAAAAGGCAAAAAAAAAAAAAAACTCCTAAAAGTCAAAAGCCAGATGAACGTTTTGCTTATGAAAGCTGTTTGGATTTTGAAAAGTTCAAAAGATAGTAGTCTAAAAGTGGTCAAAAGCTCAAACAAACAGGATCGTAGTGTCCACCCTATTGCGGAGGCAGCGAAAACCCTAATCGCACGGCACCAGCAGCAATCAGGTCGGACGTCTAGGGATCTATGGACAATAGAAACCAAGAGGAAAGCAATTGTATTGTATCCCTTTTTAAAAAAAATAGCTAACAAACTGAATTTACAAATCTGTCTTTATATAAGAATAAAAAATAAAATTGGTACTTTTCCCATCTTTTCTATACCCACTTGTTATTTGAGTATTTTCTCATTGGTACCTTATGTTTTTCTACTGTAAGATCTCGACCGATAGATTGTTCATGTCTTTTCAACCATTATAAAAACATTGAGGTTTATTATTGTGCTTTCCCAAGCAAATAAATCAGGTGTTGACCATTTTAAAAAGTAATGACATGTACTTAAGGGAACTTTTGTACTTCCCTTAATAGACTTATCCAATCAACTCACGAATAGAATCCCTGAGTAGACAATCCACCTATAGGAGTTTGCTACCAGTGTCGTTGTCGCCCGCCTCCCCGGGTCGCCGTCTTCCCACGGCCACCTGCAGGAGCTTGATTCTGATTGCATAGTGGAATTTTGGCACTCAGTGACAACAACAAAGCATGAAGTAGCTATAAATCCACTGTGACACCCAGTGATATTAGGGAAAGATCTAGTGCATTTGCTTAGATAGTTTGTATCTAGTGACACTAATTCATCGATTGTTATTCTTGGTGGTTGCCATCATCTAGACGGCTTAGAGTAGCAAGGATTTTGAGCACCGTGTTGGTGATTGTTTGGTGGCTCGAATCGGTTGACTTGTGAGAGGTTTTGAGCCCACATCGTGAAGATTGCAAAGGACTACTCTAGTCGATTGCTCGAGGCTAGTTGGAGTGCTTCTTGTTAATTGGAGGTCAAGCATGAGAGGCTTGTTAGTGTACAAATCGACCACTTGAAGACTCGTCTCAACGAGAACGAGGTTGCGAGGCAAGCAACCGAATCTCGTGGATAAATCTTTTGTCTTCACTCTTGCCCCAGTGGTTGGCTACTTACACTTGTGCAATTACATTTTTATCTATTGCTTGTGTGTAGTAACTTGATATGGTTAGAATTGTAATTAAATGTACTAACAGGTTATCATAAATTTATAGGTATATAAACAATATAAAATAAAATAAATAAATAATCAAAGTATAATTTAGGAGATCGTGTAGTATCTAGCTATGCTTTATATACTAAAAGAGAACGTGTAATTTAGGAACAAATGGTAGGAATAACTTCCATCACGCTGTTTAGATATATACAACTTTGTGTCTTGGTTAAAAGCCACAGCTGAATTACATGAAAACCAGCGGGCTCGCTTCTCCCATTCCGTGGGCCATTGTCCGGCCCATCTTGTGAGGCCATTGTCCGGCTCATCTCGTGAGGGACTAGGAGAGAGAATCGAACCGATCCACAATCCAAATCCCACCAAGGAGCGAAGAGTCCTTCACCGTTCAGCAGCACCAGCGTTGGCATCGCACACACGGACGGACACGGCAGTGGCACGCCGCAAGCGCGCCGCGCGCGAGAGGGAGCCGGAGCCGGCTGCCTGCCTGCCTGCCTGAACGCCTCCGTCCACTGACGACTGGTAACGCTGCCTCACACTTGCCCTCTTCCCCAAACTTTCCCCACCCGGCCACCCCCGACCGCCGATCCACCACCAATCTAATCTCACAGCATCCTCCTCGCCTCGCCTCGCCGTCCCAGAGCGCCGCCGGTTCGATGGGTCGTCCGCCGAGCACCACCGGTGCTCCGGCGTTCCGCTTCCTCCCGTCCGAGGTGGCGGAGATGGAGGCGCGCCTGCAGCAGCTCAACAACGGCATCCCCACCCGCGGCGTGCTCCAGACCCTCGCCGATAGGTTCTCCGCCTCGCCCGAGCGCGCCGGCAAGGTGACCATCCAGCCCAAGCAGGTCCGTCCGTCGCCGCCTCCTACTCCTCCTGCTTCGTGCTTCCTTCATTTTTTTTCCATGCAAATCAAGTCGAATTCCCCCCACCGGCCACCGGCCCTTTCCTTCCCTTTATGGGGGTGATTTTGATTTTGATTTAGGGTTGCTTCTGACTCTGATCTGTGAAACTTGGATTTGGCTGCGGCTGGGCCCAGGTGTGGAACTGGTTTCAGAACAGGCGTTACTCGCACCGGGCCAAGTCCACCAGGGCCGCGCCGTCGCCGCCGGCTAAGATGACGCCCTCGGGGGCCGATCACCACCAGCACGCCGCCAACGCCTCCGCCTTCAGGGCCGCTCAGCCCTCTTCTGTCGCTGCTGCTCACCATGGCTCCTCCCCAACAGGTGATTAATTCTTCGTCTCCTCCTCCTCCTCCGCAGGTTATTCACTTACTGTCAAATGTCGTGATGCATTGAAATGCTCTACTGGGATGGGATAACCCGTACTGTGTGATCAACTTGTTGCTGCAAATGCACGGAATCCTACGAGAACGCAGCTACATGTAAGGTTATGTTCCTAGTGAAAGGGTTCCACCTGTTTCATGCAAAGATGACAATTCAAATTAGTTTAGGCGGCCTTTAGGGCACACTGTACTTTGTAGTTCCTTATCGGGCATTAAAGATTGCCACAGCCTAGGTTTTCTCTTTTCTGTTTTTTTTCTCCTCATGAACATGCCCTGCCCTGCAAAATCAACTGTGTGTTGTGACCGATGGGGCCCAGTTGCAAGCCCTGGACAGTCTGCAAGGCCCACCAACGAGAACGCAGGCCTTCGACAACCTATACGAAGTCACACTCTAGCCCTAGTGGCATTGCCTTCCGCATCCTCTTCATTTGGTCCCCACTGGTGATGGCTGCAGAGATCGCGTGAGGCGTTGGGGAAGACCTAGGGGCACTGTGTTCTCATCTTCTCGACGTCGTTGGGCACCAGTTCGAGGTGACATGTGACAATTCCTTCATCTTTGCATGCTCGGAATCTATGTGCTGAAATTGCAAGAAATGTTGGTGTGCTGAAATGTCAAGAAACGTGGGTGCAACGTGGGGTCCAGTATATGCGGCCTCAGCGGTCATAGATATTAGCGGCAGCAGCAAAGATTTGTTGGATGGATAGCGCGAGGTGTCAGGGAAGACCTGGGGGCATCATGTTCTTCTCTTCTCAAAGTCGCTGGGCACCAGTTTGAGCTGAGCAATTCTTTCATCTTTGCATGCTTAGATCTATGTGCTAAAATGATATGAAAAAAACTCGGCCTGCGAGGGGCAAGACCGCCCCCCGGGTATTGTACTTAAGAAGAAGATCTTCTCACACAGACCGAGAAAATCCCCGAACCCCTGCCCCATCCATACATAGGGAACCGTAACCTGTGAGTGGGCTGGCTCTTGACCTGTGCTTTGGCCTGGGATAGACGAGGTGATATTTTTAACCACAGCCTGAAATTCGCTCCCACGGGGAGTCGAACTCAGGACATGAGGAGTGCCGCTGAGACTCTCTAACCAGTTGGACTAGAGGCCCGTTGGCTGCTAAAATGATATGAGATGAAGGTGGAATGCGGGCGCCAGTGTATGTGGCCGCAGCAGTCATAGATATAGTGGCTGCGGCGGAGATCTATAGGATGGATAGTGAGGCATCAGTGAAGGGGTTGGTGTATGTTGCCACAGCGATATAGATATGGCGGCAGCAGCGGCGGTGAAAAATCATTAGGATGCATAGCGCTAGGCATCAGGGAAGACCTAGGGGAACTGCATTCTTTTCTTCTTGAAGTCGATGGGAACCAATTCGAGCATAGCAATTCCTTCATGTTCGCATGCTTAGATCCGTTTGGTGAAATGGCAAGAGACGTGGCTGCAATGTGGGGCCTGGTTTTTGCGTCTGCAGCGGTCGTAGTATAGCAGCAACGACGAAAGCGATGCCATGTACATGCTCATTCTGTTCTAGATGCTGGAATTGGCCAGGAGGGTAATAGGCTTTTTTATTCTGGCCATACAATCTGTTGGTCCATAAACCCTGAATGGTTTCCTGAACTGCTGAGTCCTGTAGAGTGCGAATATTTGGCTTATGCTTGCTGAAGGAACTTCTTCATCTTTAAAATTGCAGTAAAGGGAAACTGAGCTGGTTGGAATTTCTTGATATTTTTTTATCTTAATCAGATATCTCAGCCAAGTGTTTGTATAAGTCTTATTTTGATGTGATATGTCAGGCATTTAAGCAAATTGTTGTTGTCTTGTTTTGATCCAACAAAATTGCTCGCAGGTTCATTCTATTCTTTGTTGTTCTGAATCTACCTGTTCTGCAATCATAGTTTCAAATCTGAATTATGCTAATTGTGCACTTCTAATATGGTAAAGTTCTCCCTAGGATATCTAAATAGATTTTGGATATGGAATATGCAATATGAGTTCTGCAATCAAGCCTTCTAGAAATGGCTTGGACCCATATAGCTTTGAATTTCCTTCACACTGCAGACATGCAGTTCTGATCAGAACTTCTAGTTTTGAACTTGTTCAGAGGGAGGAAATACTTTGTAGTGTTTTTCTTGAGAACTTACCTTACTATTGTTAGTGTCAAAAGGATTTATGATTTGAAACAATCGAGGTTATCATATCGCCTTATTGATTATCGGGGATTTTACATGATTCATAAGGACCTGTGAGGTGTTGAGTTGACTACTTGGAAGAAGCTAACACTTCTTATTTATCTTTGATTAATCGATCCCCTTTTATTTGATTGACGATAGAATCACATTTGTTCTGTTATGGCTTTTTTTTTGTTAACAACCCCCCCTAAAAAAAAAAAAAAAAAAAAAAAAAAACCAAACACACACACACACACTTTTATTTGTTGCACCTGTTATATTAGTCAATCAGTATTGTATGATACTAGGCAAGCAAGCCAACTGTTGTGCACGTGCCATGCAGCATATGAGGGATTTTTTTTTTCGTCTGCAAAGCCCACGAAATGTTTGTTATCCACCATATTGGTGGACAGCCACAAAAAATTATTCATGATGAGCTTGGGGTTTCTGCTGGCTGCAACCTGCCCTACCTACAAGGCTACTAGTGACCTAATCTCAACTGTCAATGCTTGTTAAAATGTTGATTGTGAGGGCATACTTATCATGTGCTGCTTCACTGCTTCTGGACATTAGATTATTAAGGGCCTGTTTGGTAGAGCTCCATATCAAATAATTTTTTTTTTGAGCTGGGCATTCCCTAGCTCCAAGAACACGTGATCGTGGGACTGGGGCCTGCCAAACAGGGATTTAGTTGTACCAAGTGATTTTAGTTTTGTGCATTCCATATAAACATTGCCATTAAATCATCATTGGTTATAATGTCCATTTTTCCTCTGATTGTTATTACCTTTGTTGACAATCAGGGAAGAACCCTGTGGAAGGTGTCTCGGTTGAGTTTGAGGCCAAGTCAGCTCGTGATGGTGCATGGTACCAAAATATTATCATATCTCATACTTCTATTATTGTTCCCTCTTTAGTGATGTGTTATCGTATTTTAACTTTTCATAAAGATGTATTCACTCTTGCTGAGTTATTGCTTAAGTTACTACACTATCTTTATCATCCATGCTATAACTTGAAGAGTCTGCCCAATGTCCAAGTTAAAGAAAATCTGAAAGTAACTAGGGGGCCCTCGTGCAGAAACTTTTTCTGAAAGCATTGGAGGAAGTTACATTATATCCATAGCAAAATGTTTGAAAGAAAAGAAGGGGAAGGGATGACAATTTTAAGGAATGCTTGTCTAAAGTTATTTGTTACATGTGGTATGTGACTCATTAGTGGCACACTTAGAGAACAATAAATGTATCTTTGAATTTATTCACTGTAAGTTTATAGGCACTTTCATTGGCAACAGAAGTGTTTTCTGGCTTCTTGCTCTATTCCCTTGAAATTGTCTCTCCTGTTTCTTTTTTTTTCTCGAACACGCAGGAGAGCTGCGTATCATTGTATTAGTAGAAGAAAAAAGGAGTCATACATAGACCCAAACACACTCACACACCCCTCCACACCTTCCCTGTTTTCTAAGGCTTAAGCACCTGTATCTCCTGTTTCTATTTTCCTTTTCTTTTAAATCATTTATATTCTTACATGCATGGCAACCTTATATGTTGCAGGTATGATGTTGCTGCCTTTCTGTCACAAAGGTTGTTTGAAACCGGTGAACCGGTAATGACCTCAGAATTTCATTGAATATTATTGAAGTCGCTATATAAAAAAAGGGGCAGACCCAGTGCCGGAGGCTCCCACATGAGTGGGGTCTGGGGAAGAGAAAAACCGAGGCAAGCCTTCCCCCCGCAAAATATGCGGAGAGGCTGCTTCGAACCCGCGACCTGGTGACTCAGTGAGACAGCTCTCACCACTGCACCAGGCCGACATTTCAAGTAGTACTTTAGAAAGCAGTATTCTTATAGTATAGTTATATATGATTCTGTTGTTGGCTCTCTTCTTACATTAGGATTGGATTTTAAAGGAGATCTGCAGTAAGTTATTCTAGTGAAATAGTGATGGTCTGCTTCAATACTTCTACTGTATTATGTTCAAACATGCCAATGTTATGGTCTCCTAATTGATGCACAACTGAAATCCAAAGCTTTACTAGGAATGTTTCATGTTTGGGATAGTGTCTGGATGTTGTTAAGGATAGATGCTCCATGATGTGGTAGGACCAGGAGGCCACAGGCCAGTAACCTGAGGCAAGGCAGCATTAGGATGGAGTCAATCCATAGGCTTAATCTTGGGTACAAGATTATTGGGAGTTTATAGGAGTCCTCCCTTTGGGATAAGCCCAATTATCACTACAAAATGGAGTTGATAGTACCTTTTTTTTTTATGTTTTCCAATTGCAAATCCCTTTTCTACCCCCCCCCTCCCTCATTAATTAAACCTTTTTAAGCATGACTCCACACTTGATGGAAACTATTTTGTCCTCCAGTGAACCATCTCTATCACGTAGCAACCAAAACCATATGGCACAATAGCTGAACTCCAGCTATCATTAATCTGTATGCTGGAGACATGTGCATACTCTTTAACTTTTCACAAAAAATATTCTGCCTTAGTACTGATCATTCTGAAATTTGAGTGTGGCACCTTGTCTATTTGACTGGAGATGTGAAAAAATTGATGCTTCCTTATATATAAAAGTGTGCATTTCTGAACCTGTGTTTTTTACATGCAAACTGTGATATGTCAGCAATTTTTCTGAAATGCCATATGTTTGTGTAAAGTTTTACTGTTACATTACATGGTAAAGATTGCACATGAAAAATACAAACTTTGCTTAATTTATGCATCATTTTTTATTTTTCAGGAAGTGCGGGTTCGTTTTTCTGGATTTGGGGCAGAGGAGGATGAATGGATCAACGTTAGCAAATGTGTGCGACAACGTTCTCTTCCATGCGAGGCCACAGAATGTGTTGCTGTGCTTCCTGGGGACCTCATTCTTTGTTTTCAGGTGTCATCATCTTAAAATTTCTTTCTCCTTAGCATCTGTGACTTCGAAATTTCTGTGTAACTGAGATTTTGTATTATAAATTTATAATTGTTGAGTTCTTATAAACTATCCAAAGGATGGCTTTTCTTTCTACCTGTAGAAGCAATAATCATTTGGCATCCCATTTTTTTCAAAATAGTTCCTTTGTTGGATTCTTATTTTTTGAACTTGTAACATTTTGGGTCAGATTTATCTCCCTAAACAGTTGTATCTTCCTAGTTTTTTTGCTTGTAACTGTGCACGTTAAATTGATTATGAAAAATTAGTTCCTTGAAAATCTGCCATTTGCTCCTTTCACTGATTGGTGGTCACATTGTCATTACAATATACTAGTAGTCTACTATCTCTGTGCATGAGGTGAATATTCTAGCCACTTTGTGTAGATGCCATGCCACCTTTGAACTTCTCAATAACAAGGCTCTGGCAACCTCCACCTGCACCTACTTTTCTTCATGTTGCATCGCTGCTGTCATTGCATAGTTAATGGCCACAACATTTGGTATAGAGCCGATAGGCACAACCATGAAATTTCTTACTTTATGTTTCCTGATTAAACTATCAGTTCTTTCATGAAATAAGTCATCAACTTGACAAAAGATCATAAAAAACATGTGAAAAACTGTCGCCAAATGTCCGGTTGCTTGTAGACAAACAATAAGCAGAGGTTAAATGTGCATGAAGACCACTGCTAAATGAAAAAGAAACCTACCAATGAAACTTCTTGACTATTCGGAAAGGTTTCAACAAGAGTTACTATTTTGTATTTGTAATCATTTGGGAGTCACGTTGTAAGTAAATCTTAGCATAGGACTCATCTGTTTTTCATCTGACATTGTTCTTTGGTGATTTCCTCCGGTTATGTGCTATATTTTTCAGGAAGGTAAAGAGCAGGCTCTCTATTTTGATGCTCGTGTCCTTGATGCTCAAAGGAGAAGGCATGATGTTAGAGGCTGCCGTTGTAGATTTCTTGTTCGCTACGATCATGATTCTTCTGAGGTAAATTTCCACATGTTTTGGTGTTTTCCATGCATTGTCTGTTAAGTATTGTAGTAAAGCATGTTGCTGAGCTGGAAGTTAAATTTCCTTTCTTCTTATAAACTCGGTGTATGGTTGCTCCCCACCCTCTTTTTTGGCATTGATGCCCTGAAATTATTATTCCCTTAACGAATGACAAATTGTTTTTGGATTAAATTGCAGTATAGGTTCATGAAGTTGTACAGTTATTTCAATTAGGCACAACAAATTTAGGTTCCTGAACGTGCAAGAGCAAGTCAATACGTGCTCAACCAGTGCATTAGCTACCTTGTGCAGTAACTGTTGATTGCTTACAGAAATTTAAAGACTAACAGCCTGTTCGCTTGGTCGTATTTGGCTTATAAGCCATGGTTTATTAGCCAACGAACAGTATTTTTCTCTCACACCAAACCAGCCAACAGTACTTTCAGCCATGGCTTATAAGTCAAACCAGCCCAAACGAACAGGGAATTTATTGTATTACTCCATATATGCTAATGTCAAGCTGCATCCTATTATCACAATTTGTTTTGTTTTTTTGTACTTAACTACCACATTATGAATGCAAATAGTACATTTGTTGATCTTAGGATAATTACCTCACTTATAGTTGATTAAACTTGAAATGAGACTGTTGCAATTAGCTTTTGTGCTGCCCTTATTGCGTCGCACTCAAAAGTCCTTCAAACTTACAGGAAATTGTTCCGCTGAGGAAGGTGTGCCGCCGACCAGAAACCGACTACAGGCTTCAGATTCTGCATGCTGCTAGAGCAGCAGCCACGAATGCAGATGTTCACACTCCACCCAAAGAAATTAAAGTGGAGTCGACATCCAATGATAAAAGCCCAGCTGAGCAGAAACCCCAGAAGCAGCACAAGATGATGGACGTGAACACTGATGAGGTGACCATGGTCTCCACCTTGGAACAAGACGAGACACAAGTCAAGACTGTAGCCCCCTTACCGTCATCAACCGTGGAAACCCGCAATTCAAGTTCAGATGCGGTGATGAAGGATGCGGAGGCTTCCTCGGTGGTTGAAGATGACGATGAAGTGCAGCTGGTTGACATGATGAAAGAGGGCTAGTTTTTTTTTTTCCAGCACATTTTGTGTTTGAATGACTTGATGTTGTGGTACAGAATTTTCTAATTTAGCTTGTAAGTTTTTCTAATTTATTGTGTAATCTAGGTCAGTACCTGTCTTAATTACCATGTAGCATCTTAATGGCTTCAGAAGGTTGCTTCTGGATAAATGAGGTCATGGATCGATCTTGTTCTGTTCAAGACGTCTGTGAACCTTTGCCTTGCCTGCGCCTTTTTGTTTGGTCGATGACTTTTGGTGAAATTGAACCTGGGATTGTTCCGTGTCTTCAAGGCGGCGCTGCTCTCGTTCGCAAGCGAACACGTATTACGGAAATCCTCCCGTCCGGACGGACAAACCCTATACTCGCCCATGCCGTTCCCGTTTGTGTCGTCCGCTCGCTCTGCTCGTGGGACGAATCCTGCCCCCGCATGGGGACCCTGGCGTGCTAGGAGCTCCCTAGCTCGCTCCTGGACTCGCGCCTCCCGTCGCGGCCGTGCTCCATCCGCCTGCCCCTGCCGAGGTTTGTGCTACAGACGAGCTCCACATCGGCGACCTCTGTGACTTCAAGCTTCGTGCCGGCGTCGAGCTCTGCGTCGATGAGCCTTCATTCGTCCAAACAGTAAGCAGATGCTACGTTGAAAGTGCATGTTGCAATAATATGTTTCAAGTATTTTAGATATTTTAGAGATATGTTGCAAGTGTTGTATATCGATGTTGAAAAAAGTAGATCAGGATGTTGTACATGTTGTAATGGCTATACACGTACGTTTTAAGTGTATGTTTTAAATGTTTCATCTATTCAAGGCTAATGTTGCAAGTGTTTTGGCTGGATGTTGCAAAAGTAGATCTAGATGTTGCATATACATGCATGTTGCAAGCATATGTTTCAAGTGTTTTCAGGTGATCTGGATGTTGCATATGTTTGTAATGGTTTTTAAATGTTTCTCATGCATTTCCGCAAGTGTTTCGGACGCTTGTTTCAAGTGTTTCGCATGTCTTCTTTTTAATGTTGCAACTGTTGTATATAGATGTTTAAAAAGTAGATCAGATGTTGCACATGAGATGCGCTTGGCGAAGAAGCGACCGGTGTACGCTGGACGACATCCGAGGCGTGGGCGACGTTCGGGGCAACGCGGGACCGCTACTGGTGCGCTCTCTCACGAGCCTAACGCGCTAGGCAGTGTCTGAATGCTAGCGTCCAGATCGAACGTCCGGGTGCTGCCAAAGTCCACGAGTATTACGAGGTTCTGTAACCATGTGTAAGAACCCTCACTCACTGCTTGATGCTTGTCTCGCGCACGAGCAGCTCCAGGGACTGTACACTGTAGTGGTGTGTAACTGAGAGAGGAAAGGGTGCCCACGGCTGCGCTCCCGCATGGTTGGACCAGCCCATGATGGGAGAGGGGAGACAACACGGGGATGGCGGATCGGGAACAATAATAAACAGTGTTTCGATGGTGCTTGAACTGTACGGATGACTCCGGAGCCGGCGAATCCTTATCAAGGGGGCTTTACTGTTCTAAAGAGTACTCTATTTTCTTGGCTAACTTTATAGGCACACCAATTTGTTAAGTGGGCTGATCGAATTGGACTATAATAAGAGCAGAGATTGTTTAGATGTATTTCTTCCTTATACAAAGTGAATCAGTTCACACATGTTTTATCAGTAAGAGACTGATAATTTATTTTGGGAGTATGAATTTCATAGATGATTATAGATTTTTTTTTTCTAAACCGAGTGAACTTTCCTTTGAATGGGATTTAAGTGAAACCACTCAACAAACAGAGTGTGTCGCCTCATTCACCGCTTTTTGAACAAACTGATATAGTATGGTTTTGTCTTTAGGGAAAGAGAACTGAACATGGACTTAAGTAGCTTTCCGTCGCTTAGCATGTGTGTGAATGAACAGTCACACCCTGATCCCTTATCTCCCAGGTATCTGTGTTGTTAGGGAAAGAGATCTCTACATGACAACGCTCGGGTCTGACCAAACAGTCCGGCGCGCGACGACGGGCGAGCGATACGAGTACGTTCGTTTGGCTGTGGCTCGTCGTAAACGATCGTAAATTTTTAGTCGGAACAGTATTTTTCTCTCACACAAACTAGCCAGCAGTACTTCTTCACAAATCAGCAACGAAACGAACCAGCCAACCAAACATGCTGATGGGAGCTCATGTGGCTGGCGCGTAGCCCAAGCGATACGGGAGCACGCAGGCACGGCGTAGTGGGAGGAGTGGCCTGACATTCAAGGGTCCCGAACACGGCCACGCTACGCGGAGGCGGCACGACCGGTCCACAGCGTTTTGGGGGAGGTCCCTGGTTCATTCTCTTTCTCCGCAGCGGCGGCTCTAACGGAAGTGAAACAAGCAGGGAACGATGATTAAGCGGATTTTGAACGATCTGAGTGTCCTCGCTTAACCTCTAGAGAATGGTAGAGCTCAACGTAATGTATCGACGACCTGATTCGGGTACGAACGGTCGAGATTTTTCTGTTGACGGGGCCGAATGAGGTGCTGAGCATCTCTGGGGGCACATTTTGTCTTTTAAAAGATTTGTCAAGTGGCCCGCTTGTGAGTTTGGAGGGAAAGAAATAGGATGATAGACGGTTAAGGCTCTAGAAATTGATTTAATCTCAGATATTACTGTGGAGATTTATTTAGGGAGAAAGAAAATCCAACATGGAGTGGAGATTACTGTTGGCAGCTGTGGTTGCAGCAAGTCCAGGCAGCCGAAACCGCTACTACCCAAAAAAACGCAGCCGAGCACAGCCCACGTTCCTTGCGGGCCACGCCTCCAGCCTCCACTCTGCTGGCCTGGCCTGGGCTGGGCAGCCGACAGACGACTCGTACTCCTACTAGACTACTACTGTGCTACATGCTACAGCAGCGGTCAGCAGCAGAGTGGGCCAGTGGGGCCTTCACTGGCGCCTGGCGAAGTGGTCCCAGGCTACTTGCAGCATGTTCGGCTGAGGCTAAAACGATCGTATACGATCGTGGATTATTACTGCTGGCTGGTTTGGTGTGAGAGAAAAATACTGTTCTGACTAAAAATTTACGATCGTTTACGACCCAGCGAACAGGCTTTTGGAGTCCAAGAAACCAGGCGCACGCCATGAGGCACACCATGCAGCGGACGTGCCGTTCCACGCCTAGATGGACGGGGCGATCGGAACCGTTCATCCGGGAACCGACCGCTTCAATCCTCTGCTGCGCCCGGTCCGGTCTGGTCGGTTCGAGGCCAGGGTGGGTGGGACCCGCAGTTCGTGAGAATCACGCACGCGACGCGATGCTGCAGGCTGCATGCTGCGGCAGATGTAGGACCTAGAGCCTGAACGTCTGCACGAACACGTGCACACCTACGTCTGCACCATGTTCCCGTGCTTACACTTTGCCCTCGCACCAGACCGACATGGCCACTGCGCCTCACCCGACCCCACGCGGTGCCTCACCCGACCCCACGCGGTGTCTGTGCCCTCACTGACCCACATGGCGTCTTTGCACCGTCCGTCCTCTCAGTGGCGGAGCTCGTCAATTTTGACGCCTAGGGCCACTGTCAAAGAATACATACCGTCTATACCGAATCAAGATATCACCCGCACCGGGTCTAATACTGATAGATAACAAAAGTAGCTTATAAATACATAGGTTGATATGAACATCTCAATTTCAAACTTAAATCCACAACATAATAGATGGGAAACATGCGCCTGGTCCGGTCTGGTCGGTTCGAGGCCGGGGTGGGTGGGACCCGCAGTTCGTGAGAGTCACACACGCGACGCGATGCTGTAGGCTACAGGCTGCGGCAGATGTAGGACCTAGAGCCTGAACGTCCACACGAACACGCGCACACCCGCTCGGATTACCCATCGACCCCGACAAGGCACACCGCTCCGATCGCGTGGTTACGGTGAACATGCCTCTTCCCGCGTAGGACGAAACCAAACCCACCTGAAACAAAGGCAACATGACCTCTCGAGGTTGGCAAGGGCACCAGGAAAGAGTGGAGTTGGGTCCCTGTGACCTCGTAAAAAGTCAGGTCCAGGCCTCGACTGACTCCTCCCTGTGCCCCAGGTCCCAGACCTAAGGTCAGCTTTGGAGACTCACAAACAGTCAGAGGTCCATGACCTCTCTGGGAGAGATTGACAAAGCAAATGGATGGGGTGACGCACAATGCGGAGCCCAAAACGTGATCACGGCTCGGTCATGTGGAAGAAGCAAAAGGTCCAAGACCTACGAGCCAACGCACGGTCACAAAAAAACTCATGACTATGCGCGCGGAGGTCGAGGAAGCATCTCCTCACGTCGTCTATACGAGAAGAACCCACCAAGGACCTCAGGCGGAACCCGTAAGTCCGTCCCCCGTGACACGGAGGATCGATGCCTCCGCAAGGAAAGCATGAGCATCGAGAAATGTAACACCTTTCGGTGCTAAGCATGCATTAACATTTTGCAAATCATGATCATAATCATTATTATGCATGCATAAGCATGAAATGAAAGATAGAATTGAAATATATTAATGAAACAGGTATGTGTATAGTCTTGTTTTAATAGATTGGATGCTATGTTTGTTTTGCCATGTGTGTACCTTGGTTGATCACTTAGACAACTTAGAAGTAATTAGAATGCATTTTGGAGCAAAGTTTATATTCAAAATTTTGCCAAATTATGCTTTTAAAAATAATTCTTCAAAAATTGGGTTTTGAATTATTATTGATTTTTATTTGTAATTCAAAATCTACTTGGAAATTAATTTTGGTCATAAAAGCAAAGTTGTAGATCTCAAAAAATGGAGCAACTTTCATTTTTGCACCAAATCTTGAAAATGATTTTTGATTGCTCAAAATGATGAATTTGGAGCTGTTTGAATTTAGATTTTAAAAAGAAAATCGTTTCATTTCCTTAGCGGGCCGCCGCCTCGCTTCTCGCCCACGGTCAAGCTCGGCTTGCCTCCGCCGCGCCTCCTCGCCGCCCCGCCTGCCTGCGTTCTGCCCAAAGAAGGT